TAGCATTTCCTCCAATTATAAATAATTGTTCTTTATTTTCTACTAATTCTTTTCTAGGCTGTTGATATATTTCCAGAACAATATATGAACCTGAGCAAATTGTTTCATGAGCCTTCCATATGCCAATTTTTTTACTGTTGTCACCCAATCCTGTGCCATTAGCTCCACAGCATATTAAGAATATTAATGCTTGTGCTTTTTGGAAGTTACATCTTAAACTTATTTGGTTAATACTGAGAATATGGTTGTCCGTATTGTACTTATTCTATCTTTGTTTAAAACTTTGATATCTGAGTGTGTCCTGGGTTCAGCAGTAGCAGTCATGTTTCTCCTTCGTGGTAGCTGGTGCAGTGCTGTGTTTTGACTTCCAGCCTGGGAACAGTGCTGGTGATACCGATGTTTTCGGTTGTTGCTAAGTGATGTTTACCCTGACCAAGGACTTTGTGAGGCTCATGCTCTGCCAGGGAGGAGGGGAAGCTGGGAGGAAGCAGAGACAGGACACCTGACCCAAACTGACCAAAGAGGTATTCCATACCACAGCACGTCATGACCGGGGTGGGGGGGAACTGGGAGTTACCCGGAAGGACACGGGCTTCCGGGTGGGACTCGTTTCTTGGCCGGTGGTATCGTATTCTCTTCCCTTGTTATTTTCCCTTATCGTTGTAGTTGATAGTAGCGGTGGTGATTTGTGTTGTACATTGGTTGCTGGACTGTTCTTGTCTCAACCCGTGGGAGTTGCACTCTTTCGATCCTCGTCCCCATTCCTCCGGGAGCGGGAAAGGGGAGAGCCCCGGGGCGGGGGGGGGGTGTTGCTCGATTGCTCTCAGCCTGGCACCACTCACTGGGAGTGAGTGAACAAGCTGTCTCGCTAGGGTTTAAACCACGACAGAGTGCAATATGGATCTCGTACATGTTGATATATTGGATAGAATTCAGTTCAAGATGAAGACACCAAAAATAGTGTCTATATATAAGCTGCATGCCTAAGCTCCCAGTGTAGCCCACAAAGATATGGTCAATACAGTCAAGGACATTTAAAGAGCTATTAAAGCAACCTGCCAGGGTGGGTGTCTCTGATGCAACTTGAGATGCTCTCAGCTGGTCACCTGCTGTACTTCAAAAAGGCAGCATGGGATCTTAAGTCCCATGTCATATCTGTGAAGCAGAAATATCATATGTCTGGGCATCTTAAATGAAACTAGAAGTCTATGGCTGGGCAACAGAAAAACTACCTTGGTAAGCTGAAATTATTTTTAGGCTCCACTGTTCCTCAGCTGCCATTATTTTTTCAGGAGCTAAGATAGCTCTTTGGACACTTACAGTTAGTTGTTATGATCTTAAACTGATAACTATCACTATAGGCTGGATTAGCTTGTGATTTCAGACTTCGTCTATAGCACTGCTGTAGTCGATGACATTTCTGTCACCATACTGCCAGAAGGAGGTAGTTAATGCCAAAGCATTATTGAATGAAGGATGTTTCCTATTCTCACTTCACTCTATGCTAAAAAAGCCATTTTTTTTTTTTTTTTTTTTGTCCTTGAGATACAGTTAGGAAAGTTATTTTCTTTCCCAGGATGATCCAGAGTTAGAAACAGGTCTGTAGTCTAGGACATGGCAGAGCTCAGGTCAAGGTACTGCTCTTTACACTATTTTTGAGTAACTATAGGAATGTTACTTGGCTTCTCAGTCTTCATTGTCTCCATTTGATGACTATCAATACGATGAAGTATCAAAAGTACAAGTGAGAAATTTGAATGTGTGAGGCATTTTGATCTTTACTATGCCTGGGGATATATATGCACTTACAGTTTGTCTGGCATTGAAGTTTTAATTTCAAAATTGGAATCCCAGACAGGTATTTCTAAGGTAGTAAGTAGCAAAATAAATTATACTAAGTGTTTCAATCTTAACTGTCTAATGTTAGCAACCAGCATCACATTAAATTGGCATAAATACACTATTCTTAACAGATGACAATCCAGCTTCTATACAGTCATAATTCATTTACTAAAATAAATGTCAGTCAAATTATAAAGTTCATGCTACTTGTCAAGTAATGGGTGATTAGAAGATCAGAATTTATATTCTTAATCCAAGGAATACAAAGAAAAAGAACCATGAGTGTTGTGAGTCATCAGTTTTATTGTGCAATGAAGATAAAGAGGATGTATTTCACAGGATATATAAACATATACCTTGTTCTCTTCCCCCTATTGCCTCTGTACAGCTTATCCTCCAGATAAAATCTAGATCTTATGCTAATAGATTGTATCCGTTTCTGTTTTTTCCTACGTGTGAACATTGTTTTTCTGAAAAAGTGGGTATTTTCTAGCAAAACCTTAAAATCTAGCCCATTTCATAGGACTAAGAGAATCTTCCAGAAGGTAAACTGAATTGTTTTTAATTCTTAGTTTCTTCTACATTCTTTCTTATTCTTGATTGTATAACTTTTTTCATTGCTCACATTTGCTGACATTAAGTACAAGAATTATTGCACTTTTTTTCCCCAGGCTGCTCAGTAACCATGTTGTGGCTGCCTCTGCTGGCACATTCTGTTCTTAATTAGGTTTACAGATATTTTGACTCATTCCATGGTCTCACTAATGTCTGTCTCTGGCCTGTAATCATCTTTTGTCACTGGTTTGATTGTTCTCTCTTTGTCTTCTCTGAGTGGGCTGAAGAGTAGGGAAATAGTTCTTTTTGTGTATGTTGCAGATGGTTCCACCCACTTCTTACTTTTCTCCTCATGAGCTTGCAGACCTCTTTGATGCTTCTTTTCTTATTTTTTCCTCATTTTATCCATTCCTTCCTTGGGGTGGACCTTCATGAGGACTTTAGTGTGGCTTCATTGGTCTTGCTTGCCAATTTTCACTGAATGTCAGGTCATTGACTCATTTCTTTCATAAGAAAACTGAATGCACACATGCATATGATTATCTAAGGTATCTCAGTTGTCAAGCTTGAGAGTTACTATTGCTCTTTCATTATTTGCCATTGGTTCTTATTTGAGAACTTAATAGTACAACAGGCTTGGGTCAAGACACTCTCACGCCCTAAGGTCTTTCATGTTCACAACATACTTTCTGTTATTGTGCCTGTTAGCACTGCTCATAAACTTTTTTTCTACATTTAGATGAGTAGTTACACTGACTTGCCTGTTAGACATGGAAACAAATAATTAAGCAGTAACCACAAGCAATGGAAATAAAAGAAATGTGATAAGCTGACTTGTTCTTAAGTGCGTGCAGCTCAGTTTTACAGGTGTGAACGTTATGGCTATTTTACAGCATTTACTTGTCCTAACTGTTCTGGGTAGAGACCAACATCACAACAGCCTCCAAGTACTGCCACAGGGTGAATATGAGGAAATAATTATAGCAATCTAAAATGTGACTAACTAGTAAAATCTACCCTCTGAACTTCCTGAGATGTTAAACTGGTATCATCCCTTTTATAACTTATTGCAGTTCAGATGAAATCAAAGGACCTGCAGCAATTCAAAGAAACTGAGATTTCTTCCCATTGTATTCAAACAATGGGAGGACAATTCCTGATGTTAACATAAACAAATATGCACCTCATTACAGAAGAAAGAAAATGGAATGAAATGAATCATCTACAAAGACAAATGATGTGTTAAAGCTTCTTGTATAATCATGTAAAGGAATACCAGCAGCTGCATTGTAAGCAGCTGTTTTGGACAGGCTGGATATGCATATAGTAATATAACTAGTGATGATATTTTATACTTAACACCTTTCATCACAAAGCACATTATCAAACACTAGTTATTTGGGCCTTACAATATGTCTGTGGAAGACTATTATACCATTGTAGAGATTGCACACAGATTAAATGGCTTGGGCTAGGCCACACAGCGAGTGAGTAGCAGAGCCAAAAGGAGAGCGTGAGTGTTGGCTTCCAGCCCCTGTGCTCTAACTACTGGACTTTGCTTCCTTAATACTTCATTTCCATATTGCTTCTGTAATAGAGCTACTGAAACTTTTGAGCACTCGGGAAGATTTGGTGTAATATCAAACCCCTTGTGCTTCTCTCTTCTAGCTTCTTTGTGATGTGGCAAAATGTTGTAATTACATTTTTAAGGGTCTCCTTTTAGCTGCCCCAGGTCACCTAGCTCTAGTGGGGAGCAACCTGATACTGTGTTGCTCTCATCCCGTCCCCAGTACACAACTGCTGGCTGCTGCTGCTTCTCTCTGCTAGCTTTCATCATGGCCTCAGTGTTATGCCCTTAGCTCTGCTGTGTGAGTGGCTGGACCATTCTGTGCTTAAATAATTCCAGCTATATGCTAATATGAAACAGATGTCTCCCAGCCACTGGCATGAGCTATTGGTCCTGCTGCTCCCGTAGTTTCTCACGAGCATTCAGGTAACTGATACTGGCTAGCCACAACCTGCCTTGAGTTTTGTGTGTCTGAGGGATAGGAGGCAAGGGAAGAGGATGAAGGGGGAGTGAAGGGGGCGACAGAGTGGTGAGGGGTAAGGCGCAGCACCTAGGGCATTTGCTCGGCGATGAATGGAGCAGACACTGCTCGCAAGTAGTGCCTCTCGCCTGCCCTCCCGCTGCCAGCCATGGCTCAGCCCCCCCGCCCCGGGCAGGCTGCCCCACGAGACAGCCCGGATCAGGCTGGGGGGACGGCCTTGTATAAGTTCCGTTTCCTGTGAGTGGAGCAACAGCGGTTTGCAAGTCCTCTGCGCTTCATGCTGCTCCGTCAGCGCTTAAAGAGCTGCGTAAAATGTTTGTCAAGCCAGCATGATGCTTGTGAAATGAGGAAAAAAAAACCCAAAACCGAACACGGAGGAAAAAGAAAAAAGGTAGGAAATACTGAAAACAGAGACTCTTACATGTTGCCTCTTTATACTACAGGAACTGGGGGTGTGACTGACTATCTAAACCACCTACACATCAGGGATGCCACCCAATCCCTGCCTATGTGCTGTGCAGAGCTCCTCCCCTCTCGTTTTGGCTAAGCAGACCTCTAGAGAAACTGCCTGTTCTGGCTCATACGGACTGTAACATATAAAAGCGGTTAGCAGCTCGTGAGGCCAGAAGTTTCAAAACCAGCACAATTTTGTTCTTTGGGGGTTTATAATAGCAGACACTCCTTCACAAAGGTTCATATCATCATATAGGAGAGTGCTGTATATAGTGGGAGAACAATAGGCTGTATTCTTTTTTTTTTTTTTTCTTGGTATTATCCAGAGGTAAGCCATTCAACTCAGTAAGTTTGCTTTGCATGTAGTTTTATTAATGCTTATCACATTTTGCTGAAGTTAAGTTCTGAATGCTATTTCTAAGATGTTCTGCTTTCATGCTATATTTGTTGTCTTTTGCCTACTAGCTTATCTGTGCCACATTGTGTCAAAATAATCCATGCATATGGGATAGGCATAGCCTAGGATATATTTTTCATTTTCACTGGAAAACATGCTGTGAGGTTCCTTGAAGTCTCCCCATTTAAGATTTGTAATGTGTTTTATGGACTGATCCAGTGTGATAGCACTGTCCCTATTTCAGGAATAGCTCTGATTACGTAATTCATTGTGTAATGATACTTCATTTGGTGTGATTGTAGTACAGCCATATTAGCCCTTAAGATGGTTATTGGAAATTGCTCAGTAGCACATGTTCTGACTGGATTGTTGTTATGATTGAGCTGACAAGACAGAGTCATTTTTCTGATCACAGACTGCTAGTTCACTTTGTTCTGCTACCCAGATGTACAGAATCACATATTTGACATCTTCTCTTCTACAGATTTGTTTTCTACTGCAGAGTACCTAAAGCAGAGTACCTCTGTGGCTTATCCTTCTCCTTTGGCCCCAAAATGACAGTAATCACTGCAATCAGTTGTGCTTTCTTATTTTCCATTCTCTGTGAAACAAGTGCATTAATGTTACCCAACTCCACTGACCTACTCCTGTCAGACCATAATTTTACTGACATTGAGACAGCTTTGGCAGCTCATCTGGACTCTGCAAAAATTCCCAAAGCCAGGCGGAAGCGCTACATTTCACAGAATGATATGATTGCCATTCTTGATTATCATAATCAAGTCAGAGGCAAAGTCTTCCCACCTGCTTCCAACATGGAATATATGGTAAGTGAGCTTTGTTTATTTCAGAGTAAACCAAACTGTAAATCAGTGACTTGTTTTTCTTAAATTGTGAGGGTTTAGTTAAGTAGATAAATGATTTTTAGCATTGTTTACTAAAATGTTCTTTCCTTACATTTTTAAAGTTGCATTAACATAAGCAAGCTAAAGCCAAATACTGAACTCTGAACCTTTTACTTGCCTTGTTGAATTTTCATTTCTGTGAGTAGTCCCAGTGAAGCTTCTGAGACCCAAGTAAATGAATCTGTGAATTAACTGTTTGCTGGCCTGAGGAATAGTTTGTGTGATCACAAGATGTGCTCACACACACTCACATGTGTTTAAAGTACTAATCATTAGTAACCCCATCAGTTTTGTGGACTTCATTTAAAGTCATTGCCCTGATTTATACAAAAGGTAGCCAGTGACCATTTCTACTTTCTTTCACCCATAATACTTTTGGAGGCAAAATGGTAAAACTGTATTTGTAAAGTAATTCATCTGATGCACTGTTTCATGCTCATGTATTTTACTTACTGCATATGGTCTGTGTGCATCTAATGCTTCTATTTTTCCATCAGATACAATGCTGCTTTTAAATGTTTCTCTAATATGTAGGATTTCAGTGTACGCAAAATGTTGTGTTTGTGGCAGGCACTTTTTACCCTTATTGGCAAATACTCATTATATGAATTATCTGTTCCTGCAGGTATGATAGGAGTTATTCATTCACTGTGATTTCATACTTGGCAGTACTAGCTAAAGTAGCATGTTTGCTATTTGTGTTCCAACTTTGAATGCATGCATAGTGTAGACCTCTAATGTTAAACATAGGCTGGCCAAGCATAAACTTTTTTACCTTCTAAGTAGGGTATTCACCCTGTTCTAAAAGCACAGACAAATTGTGTCAGCACCATGTATCTGCTTGAAGTCACAAGAGTTTCTCATATGACAACAGTTAGTTAACAGGTTTGAGAAACAGGATACCATCAGCTTGACATAAAAAGGGGATAAGAGTGATAACAACTCCTCCTTTTTAGCAGCTAATGACTAACAACTTTGAGACCTTTCTATCACAGGTGTTACTTAAATCTGGATTTGATTATAAAATTGGCTTAGCACATCCCAGCAGCACCTCAAAATGCGAAGTGCACTCAAAACATATCAGGATGAAGACCTGTTGCCATACTATAGGCTGAGTTTGAAGTTTGGTTGAGTGGAAAGGTCGGAGACAGAAAAAACAGAAAGGTCAGAAGGCAAGCTCAGTCATCATTTTCATTGCTGTGCTCTCCACTGATGTTTCCTTTGACTCTGCATAAATAAACTTTGTTGTAATGTCTGAGGGAATGGCAGCCTACCATGCCCTTCCTTGGCTTCTGTGCTTTAGCAATGTGCTCCTGCAGTTTGCTTAACTGAAGCCAACACCCTGTCATATTCCCAAGAGTTTTGTAAGTGCAGCGTTCTTAGCCTGTTCAGTAAAAAACAAAAACCAAAAAAAAAACTTCAAAAGAAAAAGCAATTTTAATTTTCCTTGATTAATTTATTTTAATGCACTTGTATGCATAAACTGCTTCGATTTTTATCTGTATTAGTTGGGTATTCTGCTGCAGCTCTGCTCTGCAATTGTGCTGTGCAAGGTTTGGTACAAAATCAAGACTGAAGCCTTGCAGCTTATATACTAACTTTTTCTTTGCCTTTCCTCCTATTGCTTTTACCATTACCAACCAGCTGTGGGTTGTGTTCCCATCAGCATCAGCCCAACCAGTAGTCTCAAGGGCAGGGTCTTAGGCTTTCTTTCACATTTGGCTTCCCAGTCTGAAAGTACTTCATAACTTCATGCTGCAGAATTCAGAGCAGCACCTCAAGCTATGTAGGTAATGATCCAGAGCACAACTTGAACTTGGATTCTGAAGTGGCAGCCAATCCCTTTGCCACCAATTGTCTTCGAGAATTTAATCAGTCTGTGTGTGTCCCATGTAAGAGAGCAAAAACCACAGTGAGCAACGTTGCACATAGCTTGCTTTGCCACCTTCTTTGTAGCCATGGCAGCATCTGTTTAATTTTTCGCATCTGTGGCTTCAGAAAGGTTTTGGTAGGAAGGTCTTGAAGATGACATGTAAGCCATACGAAGACTGGGAACCCCTGTATCAGTAATGTTTGAATTTGATTGGTCCACTGTTAGGTCTCTGTATAGTTTCAATGTATGGCACAACATCTGTTGTATCTAATAGGGACTTAAGGTTGCTGCTGTTATGTATAGAAGATGTTGTGTTATTTGGTACTCACTTTCATAAATAACACAGCAAACACACTGTCATTACCAGCAGACAACAAGTGCTGTGCTTGAAAGAACCTTCCAGAGTGTGTGTTCCTGTCCTGAATACTATGGAAAAGTTAGTGGTAGTGATGAAAGTGGCCTTTACCATTTCCCCTAACAATGACTAAAAAGGATGTCACATGTTAGAGAATTACTGGAATTACTTACAGATGCAGTAGGTTGTGGAAATCTTTTGTCTTTAAGTGTGTTGAAGTAGAAAAAGACTAAACAGTTTGGAAGGACAAGAAAAAGATGTTTTCTCATCTTTTCTCTGTCCACAGTCATATTAAATTGTATTTTGTTCTTTTTTTTCCTAATTCTGTTAGGACCTCTGTACTTCTCATGCTTGTTGTATCACATTCTCAGTTTTGTACAGTCCATTTGCTTTTTCTTCTCCACTGGTAAGAACTCAGGGTTTAGCTATATGGGTGGGTTCTTGTGATTACATTCTTCACAGCCAACCTTTTCTGGGGCTTTTTCTCCTTGACGCATTCTGTTCCTTCCCTTGAGGCAGTCCCCTTCTCACGCGTTCATTGCATGTCCCTGCCCATGGAATGGAGTTGGAATGATATAATCATTAAGATCGCTTCCAACCTAAACCATTTTATGATCCCGTGATCTATAGAAAATTAGACTTCCTTGTGCATTATTTTGTCTGTGCTTACTGTCTGGGAGGTTTTTGTGCTCTAGGACTTTGGACAAGAGGTCTCAAAAAATGGCTTTGAAGGCACATAGAATCATCATAGAATACTTAGGGTTGGGAAGGACCTTAAGATCATCAAGTTCCAGCCCCCCTGCCGTGGGCAGGGACACATGTGTTAGGCAGGGGAGGTTCAGATGAACACTGCAGTAACAGAGCTGGGGGAGTGTTTTAATTCTCTTGGAGAAAGGTGTACCTGACTGCTGCCCTGGACTGTTGTATGCAGTCCCTAATGAAAACCAACAGCCAAGAGGAAAAAACAGTGATGGGACACACAATTTTATTATCAGTCCTTAGTGAAAGAAACCGGTGTGCTTTACACAGTTAGACTTTGGGAAATCTTTCTTTTGGGACATTAGTACCCTTTCCATCAGACTTTAAAGTAGTCCTCCTTTTGGTTCTGGTTCTGGTATTGCTGAAGCCATCAATTGGAAGTTTTTCTGCAAGTACAAATCTAGAGTCAGTGCAAAGACTGAGAGAAAGTGAAAGAAATGAAACAAGGACTTTTAGACCATTAGAAATAATGACCTCTTAATTTAATTTGAGACTTATGACATCCTTCATTCTTCCTCAGCCTGTGACTGTCATTCTTCAGTGTTCTAAAAGCTGATGCCATACCTGCAGAAAGAAAGATGACACCATACTTTTGATCTGGCAAAGGGTCAAAATCATCCACTTGGCTTTAGTTGTTTGTTTGGATTTTCTTTTTGTTTGTTTGTTTTTGTCTGGAGAAAGCAGAAGGATTCCATTAAATTCATGACTCAGAAAAAGTGAGGTGTGGAATTGCCTGCATCTCTCTAGCGTGAAAGGTATGTAAACCTGCAAATCCAGTGGAAGTCTGTGTACAAGCAAATCCCTTTTTCTGAATGCTTGTTCTGTACTACAGAAGCCTGCCTTGCCTTTCTGGAATATCTCGGCTACTTGGTAGGCTAGTAAAGATTTGAGCTGTTGCTAGCTGAAATGTGAGTCGCATAAAACTTATCATTTAGTATGCATTGGTACTATCTTTAGGCTCCCAAAACATTCATTAATGAGATGTCTGTTCCTATGAGAATCAAATGTTAATTATACCTTCCCTACAATCACCCCTCTTGAGGCCAGTTTTTTAAAAGTCCATATGGTCTTTATTGTAACCCACATCACTGTGTGCATGCAAAACTTGGTCAAGAAGTGCTTACATACAGGCATGCTATTAACAGCTTCTCATGTATCAAGCAGAAGCAGTAACTCTGATATAGCTGGGCTTTAATGAGCATTGAACACTGTCCACCATGACATTCCCACAGGGAAAGTGGGGAAAACCTAAAGTTCTCTGAAGTGATTTGAATAACTTGTTGAGGAGCGATACTGAAAAACAAGCTGTGAGTAGTTCACTGTTGGCTCTGCAAGGGTGAATCCTGAGCCCAGTACTGATCAACATGGTCATTAATAGACTGGCAGCAGCATGTCTGAAGTATAATAGATTGCATGCTCAAAAATAAGAAGGTGAATGTTTATGGAATGCTGTCTGAAGATTTTAAGAGCAGAAAAATGCTCTAGGTAAACTTGATCCAGCTAATGTATGGAAGATGTTCTGATATGCATTTTTTTTGTTCAGTGATTGCATAAATGCACTCCTATATTTGGCAAAATCTGCCACTCATTGATTATGTCACTTTGTAGGACTCAAAATAGTAAAAGATTCCCAGACTAGCCTGAAATGAGGTTTTTTTTTTGGACACGCAGGAGTTATTTCATGGCAATATAAAGAGATTTCCTCATGAGTTGGTGGCAGAGGAGCCAGAAGGGATGGAGAATCTGATCCTATTAATTTCTAGTAAATCCACATGAAAGACCATTATAAAATGGACAAAGGAAATGAACTATTGTTCTAAGATGAAAGTAATTTTGTTCCAAAAGAAACTCCTGTAGCTGTGTGAGGGAGTCCATATGAGAAACGGGAGAAATCTGTGCACTATGTGTGGCCTAGGAGTGACCCTTTTTGCTCAG